CTGGAACAGGCTGCCCAGGGAGGCTGTGGAGTCTCCTTCTCTGCAGATATTCAAGACCCGCCTGGACAACTTCCTGTGCAGCCTGCTGTAGGTGACCCTGCTTTGGCAGGGGGATTGGACTAGATGACCCACAGAGGTCCCTTCCAACCCCGAACATTCTGTGATTCTGTAATCCCTGGCCAGCAGATATTTTTCTGTTTTAAAATGGCTATTAGGAATATACGGGTGCTATGAAAGATGCACATCAGCAGCAAACAAATAAACTCAGCACTCGCCTGTCTTCTTCGTCACTGTACTGCCTGAACACTTCACAACTATCACTGATTTAAATCCCCATAATGCAGTTACAAGGTAAAATCAAGTAATTATTGTTTTCATTTAACAGCCAGTGAGCTGAGAATGATAGAGCCAAGAATTCCTGTGCCAAATGCAGTCCTTGCAGCACTAGGAGGAAGGATTTTATTCTGATACAGCAGGACTGACTTGGTTGGGGGTAGAAAAATGTCTCTGGAGAAGAAGCAGTGTGCTTCCTACATGTAGAGGGAATTAGAGTTAATCTAATTCTACAGCGCACCAGAGGAAAAGGCCTTATTCTGTTGCTAATTTGTGCTCCACAACACGTGTGTTTGTGCTGGGGTCTTGCGGAACTTGGTTCCAATATTCAGTGGGAGCGTTGCTGTTCATTTGGCAAGTACCGTTCACTCAGGGAAGTGCACGATAGCACGTGGACACTCCTGAGGGCCAGCTCTGGTCCCAGTTCTTCCCTGTGAAGAATTTGCTCTGGAACTGTGTATCCTTCAGGCCTTTGCAGAAACTCCTTGTACATCACTGGTGGCCTAAAGCCATGTCTGATGTCATTTGGAGCTCTTGTCACAGAAGAACATTGCCAGGCTTGGTAAAGAAGAAAGTCAAAACAATTGAAGGTGGTGGTGTTGGGGTAGGGAGGAAAAAAACACAACAGGCCTCTGGTTTGGTAGAGGGCTTGTCAGGGAGCTGAAAAATGGTGCTGCCGCTTTGGGAAGCAGGCGTGCCCCTGGGGCCATTCTGTAGCTCTGGAAGGGGGATCCCAGCGAATCAACACAAAAACGATCTTCTCCCAGAATCGTGTTGCTCACAGGGGAGATGATCTTTTTTTCTCGTTGTACAGGGCTGTAACGAAAACTGGAATTGACAAACATCATTTGTGTCCTGAATGAGAAGCGTATTCTTTTGACGGGAGAGGCGAGGCTACAGAGCACGGCCGCCCGCATCCCGCTGGCTCGGGGTGCGGCCTCCGGCGCTGCAGTGGTGGTGAAGCGGCTGAGAGCCGATGTGTCAGTCTAGGAGCTGCTCTTGTATTTTCATCTGTGCGCTCATGCAGTGGTGGGATTTGCTCACTTGATACGTCCTGCAGATGGAAAAACTGAATACAGTGAGAAGCTATTTGCATTTCTTCCTAGACACCGCTCTGCAGTGCATGGCTGCGTTTTCGCTGGGACAAGCCTGGCGCACGGCAAATTCGGTTTAGTCCCAGGAGTGTCTCTGAACCCAGGTCTTCTAAAGGTATTTTTCCTTACAGCAGTGTTTTCAGACAAGTCAGTGATACCCAAATACAGGGAAGGATGAAGGATGTGTTTAAGGCTTGCAAAAAGTTTATTGGGTAGAGTAATTCTTGGATTAAAATACTGCCCTTGGAAACTGTGAGTGGAAGTCTGTTGTGCATAACTTTTCCTTGTATGTTCATACGGTTGATAAAAATCCAAAGCCAGTTTCAGATGCTCTTCAAGCTGCCTGCCACAGCCTTCCAGAGCAGCTGTAACTGGATTAGTAAGACGTGGAAAGTATTGCAATGCTGCGTGCATCTGATCATCTGAGTAATGATTAAAATGTTAATGGCAGGCATAGAGGACTAAAGCAGACTGCGAATTGCAGAGCTTTATGTTGTTGTTCAGCTTCTTGCTTTTTCACCTGCCCTGGAATTTAAAATAGACAGCCGTGATCCTGTACTCTGCCTTACCACATCACGTGCCTTTGGGTTAAGGGCTGGCATCTCCCAAAGCGTTAAAGATGCAGGTTGGCTATCTCAGTGCTGCATGCCAGACCTTGCCCGAGGAGTGACACTCCTGCTAGATACCAGGCTTGACCAGAGCTGAGCAGACATTTCTGCAAAGGCCCGGTGACACTTGACGCTGTAGGCCTGGCGATTCGTTTGATGATAGCTAATAAAATGCTAACCATCTGGCAGCGCTGCGATGTGATTACGCTGCTGTAAATTTTCAAATTCCATCAAAGTCCTGCTGAGGATAATGGGAATGGGCCAGGGGGAGTCAACTGTAAATCAAAAACTAAAGCGTGGCCAATTCTGACGGTAGAAAAAACTGCTATTTTAACATGCAGATGCTGAACTGCCAAGTCAAAACCAGCTGTGCTACTAGAATGAAAGGTCTCTCTGGATTTGCATTTTTTGTAAGACTCACTGATTATTTTTCTTCCCCAAAAGTTTAAACCGTATCTTTCTACCTCAGATTTGCCCGACCAGTTACAGAGATTTTGTATGCCTTTTTTTAGTATTTAAAATATCAGATGCTTTGATGATAAAGGACAGTTTTCTCCTTTTTGGCAACTTTGTACAAATTCAAATGTTTTCATCTGTACATTTTAATTACTCTAACAATGAAAGTTCTGCAGTGGACAAGGCAAGGACCTCTCCTTCCTCTCTGCTGTAGCACTGGCAGGAGTCAGATCAGTATAACAAAGAGGAGAATTTAGCTTGGGAAATCTTGAGCATAAACTGGCTCCTCTGTTATTTTTCAGTTAGTAATGGGCCAGCCAAGACGTTTGTCCGGTGGCATGAATATGTGACAGGCAGCCAGGAATTGTTGCTTCTCTTCATAGTCAGGAGCAGCCAGCTTCCTCTCTGAGCAGATTCTCTTCCAGGAGAGTGGGACAGCTTTTTGACTGTACCCTTGTTCTGTATGTTGAATTGAGCCTTTTTTTTTTTTTCTTTTCCCCTCTCTGTGTCTGAAAGATGACACAAGGCAGCATTGGTTCACTGGAAGGTGCACTGAGGAGATCATCAGTGAGCCAAATGGGACCACCGTTGTTTCTGGTGCGTGCGCTTATCGCACCTCTTGATGCTAACCTGTCTTGATAAAGCTTCAAAACAGCTTGCTGGTAGGCTCCAGTATTGCCTTCTGCCTGGAACCCAGGTTCTTACTGGTGTGAGCAGCTTTGTAATTCCAGCTGTCTGCCCGATAAAGAACCTACGCCACAAGAAGCTGCCTGGGGGTTACACTGCATTGGCCCTGACAGCATCGGTCGCAGTCTTTTTCTCTGGATCGGGGACCCTCAAAGGAAGGGCTGAGCTGTCAAATGCTCACGGTGCCTTTGCAGTGAAGGTGGTTAGCAGGTAAGCTTTTGGGGAGTCCCAGCACTGAGGGGCAGCTGCAGTCCTTCTGTGAGGGGCAGGGGAGTCCTGCCGAGGTTGGTGGAAGTCGCGTGAGCCGTGGGATGGGTTTTTTGGTTGTGGGAAAGGATAAAGACTTGTAATTTCTAAGTGTTTCTTATATTAATGTTGACATAATATTGGCTTTACCTGCTTTTCTGGAGCACTTGGTATTAATGCCTTCCAGGTTGTTAGGGTATGATCGTTCTTCTTCCGATATGGAAGACAAACGCTTGTTAAACCTAGTCACTTTTAATGAGACCGCTGTCTGTAGATCATATCTCAATGAATCTTGGTTATTACAAGAAATGCTTTGGAGGGACAGGCATTTGTAATTTGTAAAAATTTATACAAGTTGAAGTACCGTGGATTGACTCTTGGCATTGTCAAAGATGATGGGAAAACTTCCATCCTTCCAAAGGAGCCATGTGCTGGATCCCTCTGTTAGAGATCAGTTCTCCTTTGCTCTGCAATGCAGATTTCTGTGGCACCCGTCTCCAGGGTATCTCAACCCTCTTTTAAAGATGAAATGGGAAGTTAGTCATGAGATCTGTGGTGGTTACAAGCCAGATGTTCTTTTTTTTCCTCCTGTGCAAGTGGGAGGACAGAAGGCAGTTTCTTCAGTGTGTTCGTTCTTAGTGTGCCATTTCTTTGCGTGAAATGTTGTCTAGTGTTCTTGTTTCATTTACATTTCCAAAATCCTAGAGTCATAAAAGGATTTTTGCATGGTTTATCTAATTTTGCATATATTAAAAGAGCCCTGTGTGTTAACATAGCACAGAAAGGTTCTGTGTAGTCAAGAAAAAATAGCTGTTGCAGCAATGTGCATGATTATAGGGCTGCTGTTTAGTCATCAGTCACAATACGAGTGGATTTTTTTGTGAATTCAACATTTATTCCATTTCAGATGTGATAAGAATTTACATGAGGAGTTTAGTTTGCTCAGCACACTAGGGCTTGACCCATCTGAATCTATTAAAAGCTATTATAACATCAAGACTAACATCCTAATCAGGGATGTGTTTGCAGGGTAGTATAGTTCCCTTGATTTTGGAAGAGTGCTTGGAGGACTGAGCCCTGTGGTTGTGCAAAGGTATAAATGAGACATTCACATTTAAATGAAAGAGCTAAATTATTCTGCATTAGATTTTTCTGCCAGGATGCACACATCTGGAACAGTGGATAGAGGAATATACCAACTGCCTGTATGTGATGGGAAGATGCTTTTGTTTTTTAATATGTTACTCATATTGAACTTCTGCTTTGTGGGGTTTTTTTTTTTCCAATCTTCCTCTATGCTGCTGCAAATCAGCCATAAGAAATCAGCAGCTCAGTTGTTTTCCTGCAAATTAGTTGCCAGCATCCTCTAATTCTGCTGGCTTGAAATACAGTCTCATCTCCTTTACAGTAATGTGAGCCGAGAAGAGCCAAGTGGGGCGGTTCTCCGTGAGCAGGAGTGTGGGTGGAAGCACTGTTTTTTGTGGCATGCTGCTCTCGGTTCTGGTGCTCTTAAAATCCTCGTGCGTAAATCTCTGGGTAAAGGATTTTAGAGGAATAGAGAGTATCTTTTCAGGGTTAAAGCGTAAAAATCAGGAATTGCTTATGCTTGCATCGGTTCCTTGTATTTATCAGAAACATCTGATACAGCTTCAGATTTCCACATCCATTTTGCTGTCCAGTGGGAGATTCTGAAGTCGTAGCTACTTCTGCTGAACTAATAGCGGTTCGCTTACTGTAGATTACACTCCTTTCCTTCCCACCGCACTCCACCCCTTTTGCTTATCTTGGTACAATGCAGTTTATAATTGGCATTTTGTAAATTTGTTGTGAAGAAGAAAGGAGAAAAGCAAAACGTGCAGTTGGTCCTATGAATGACTCATCAAATACATAATGAACACCTCGATTCAGAATAATTGTTTCATATTTACTCCTTTCCTGCCACTCCTTTCATGGAGTGGTACACTCTTGATCGTGATGAGTCAATTCGTATAGTGCTGAAACCTGTGGGTTTCCCATGGATAAGGATTTCTCTGAAGAATTACAGGACCTGTTTCTTGAAGTGTGACATAACTCCTGAGAGCACATGTTCTCAGTTTCTGAAACTTGGCCAATCCACTCAGCTCGATACTGCGGTGACCTTTTACATAAGCCAAAATTTTATTCCTTGGTATATATGTGCACCAGCATGGAGTAAAACAAAAGAAACCCCAACGGAGTGGAGGGTGTGAAAAGCTGGCGAAAAGCAGAACTTTGAGAACTGAGAAAAGAAGTCATCTGCACGTATGAATGTTACCCAGGCGTGTGGCTTGACAAGTCTCATACAATCATTTGAAGAAAAAGGAACAAATCAAGGTTGATCATCCCCGTTAGATGTTAGAAAAACGGACATATGTATGGAAGTCCATATAGCAAAGGGCAATGCAGATGGCACCAGGAAAGCTTTGTACAGCCTTAGCATGGAGGTTTAATTAAATCCATTGCTGAGAAGTGGATGCCTTTTCTACTTCTTTGACCATGCCTCCCTTGACTTCTGCAAGATTGGCTTGAAAGATAGTTCCCTGTTGTCAGTAAAAGATAAGGTCTGATTAGTGGCAAAAGATTACTGCTAAGTTTTCAAGTTGTATAGTGTTTGTACACTATGATTTACTTTGCTTTCAGGCAGGTGAGTGTCTAATTTGATGGGTGTGGGTATGATAACATGGACTGAAAATCGTCTAAGTAGTTTTGAATTCTGCGATGGAATGGTAATCACTGCCTGAAGTAGGAAGCTTTTTCTTTTTTACTTCCTTCCTCTCTGTGCTCTAATTATACTCTGGTAGATGGCTGCTTATATCCTCCAGGCAGCAAAACAGAATCTGGGAGTGCTTGTTTCAACTGAACACCTTGATGCAATAAATTGCCTGGCTGCTAGAAAGCACTGGCCGCTGGCTGAAACATCGGTCGTCCTAAAGACAGACTCATTTGTGGCCCGGGTCCATTGATTTCACTGGAGTTACACCAGGGGTAGAGTTAGCCCCGTCTGTAGTCCCAGCAACTCCAGGAGCAAAGTGTAAGAATGCCTTTAAGCTTCTTAAGGGCTATTGGCGTGCCTGGCATATGCTGAAGTTTAGCCATGCTTGTTGCGAGAGATGCGAGGGCGATAGAAACTTTTAAAGTTCCTGTAACGTTAGCAAGAAACGTTAAGAAGAGCCATGAACTGAAAGACGAAGAGGTAGGAGCTTCCAGGAAAATGAGCTAAGCTTTAAGCCACACTTGAGGATATCCTGTCCCTGCCAGAGACCGGGGTCCTCTTGTTCAGGAGCTGTAGTTGCGCTGGCCTTCTGAGTGACCTCTCAAGGGAGCTGAAGGAGGCAGATGAAACTAAACCATCATCGAATCACAGGAGTCAATAACTAGTTTCAAACACGGTGGCAGAAACTCTGTCCCCACAAGAGGGAAATGTAATTCCTTGTACCCAGTGGGTGGTATTTCTGGTTTCTCCACAACGTTTAAAATCCAGAGTAATAATTAGATCCTCAGTTTCAGCACAGAGGACCTTTCTTTTTTTTTTTCCTAATGTGTTTTGCCATCCTGGTCTAGTAATTATACAGAGATGTCAGCTGGAATTGATAATGAAGGCAAAATTCGGGAATAGCAACAGGATGTGTTACTGCTATTGATCAAAGGCTATGGAACTGATTTTAAACACTGCTCCTCTCTTTGATCTTTTTTTCCTATTGATTAAACACAGTAGATAAACAACCGCCTGTGTAGCATGAGCATTTATTATGGCTTTTAAGCTGACTAGAGGACAGTTTTGAATTAAATACGAGAGTTTAAATGATGGTTTTCTAATAAGTGCTGTCTATAAAGACTTCACTTGCAATGGCGATACAATTTCATTTAAGCATGGTGAAAGGAAATCTAAATACAGGCATTCTTTTTCTTTCGTATTTAAAAAGAAGATAAAATATTGCAAAATTCATTGTAGGAAAGTCAAAGGTGCCTTTTTTTTTTTTTTTTTGTATGTGGTTTTGTGTGGGCAAAGGCTAGGGTTTGGGGTTTTTTTTGATATGCAGTTGTTTGTGTAGTGCTCCCCGCAAACTGCGTTCTCTTGTCCTGGCACTTTTCAAGAAGTTTGTGTAAGTCAAATGTTGTAAAATGTGGATACAAATGGAACTACCAGGTGCAATTTGGTAGTGCTCCAGTCACTTCCAATGAAATTAATAGAAAACTTTCTGTTGACTTGTTAATGAGTTAGATTGGACCCTGGGCTGTCACTGTTAATGTCTTGGAAAGGTCAGGATCGATTTCCTGGCATCCTTTTTGTCTCTTAGGAGGCTGTTTGCAATTCTGTGGGAGACGTAGCGATATTGCTGTTCCTTTTCCTTGATAATTGTCTGCATAATTTAAGTTCCTCTGCCTACCATCCAAGGCTTCATGGAAGAACAGAGACAAAGCGAAAAAGTGTGCATTTTGGGGAAGTTGTTCATATCTTAAATGCCTAAAATAGTATTTCTGCATAATGTCAAGCTTTCCTCCACCCCCCAGGTTATTCTGGATTTTATTCCAGTACTGTACTGCTGTTATTTTTCCTTACTGATGGCGGGGGAGGGTTAAAAAAAGACTATTACTGCAAATGGAAGCGGCCTGCCACATTGCAGTGTAGAGAGCAAGTTGTGTTGTATTTAAAGTGGTGCTGTTTCACCGCAGTCCAGTAAGACAACCTGCCCAGGGCTAGCTGCACGTCCCTGGGGATCCAAATCTTTGGATTCCTGCCTTTTCAAAAACACCTGAAGCCTCTGCGAAGTTTCTCCCAAGCAGGCTTGTTTGTCTTGCTGTGAAACAGTTAGTTCCACCAAGTTAGTGCTGTGTCAGTGTACTGAAAGGCTGATGTTAGTAGTCTGGTTTGGAAGCATGCTTGGGCTGCCCTTGCAGCAGGCCTGAACAAAATTGTCTCTGGTTTTGCTGGGTAATGCACCATGTATTTGAAGGTACAGGATTTTCTTTTACAAGTAGATGGCTATCACAGAATGTTAGGAGTTGGAAGGGACCTCTGTGGGTCATCTAGTCCAACCCTCCTGCCGAAGCAGGGTCACCTACAGCAGGCCACAGAGGACCTTGTCCAGGCGGGTCTTGAATATCTCCAGACTCCACAGCCCCTCTGGGCAACCTGTTCCAGTGCTCCGTCACCCTTAGAGGGAAGAAGTTCTTCCTCATGTTCAGACGGAACTTCCTGTGCTTCAGTTTGTGCCCACTGCCCCTTGTCCTGTCGCTGGGCACTACTGAAAAGAGTTTGGCCCCATCCTCCTGACACCCACTCTGAAGATATTTATAAGCATTTATAAGGTCATCTCTCAGCCTTCTCTTCTTCAGGCTGAACAAGCCCAGCTCCCTCAGCCTCTCCTCGTAGGGGAGATGTTCCAGTCCCCTCACCATCCTCGCAGCCCTATGGCTATGCTTGAGGTGCTGCAGTCCTTGCCACAGGAATACAAAATCCGCCCCCCAAAAATACAAGGCTTGGAGAGAAGGGAGTGTTGGGAAGAGGACCAGGTTGTTCTATTCACAATGCTGACATTTGAAAAGGATCATCCATGTGCTCACTTTGCTTTTGAAACGTCTAATCAGCCCCACTTGCCACTAGAGAGGATTTAATTTCACAAATTAATATTCTACTATTTCATCAGGTGAAACATTGATATCTAGAGTCTTCTGAACTCACTGTCATGCTTTCCTTCATTTTCAGGATACTGGGGTTGGGAAATCGAGCATCGTTTGTCGATTTGTCCAGGACCACTTTGATCACAATATTAGTCCTACTATTGGGTGAGTACCACACATAGTATCTTTTCTCTTCTGTACAGAATTTAACTCACTGCCCTCTGCTGAGCTCCTTTGTTTTCCTTACTTTCAGGGCTCTGAATACTGAATCTCTTTTTTTTTTTCCCCCTCCAGCTTCTCAGTCTCACTCAACTCTTCACTCTTCTTTAATGGCTTTCAGCTCATGTTACCTGTTTAGAGAGTCTGGGGCTGTCCCAAACCAGGTCTGCTCTGCCCTCCTTACCTTAAACTTGCTGTATTGCAGCATGCTTTGTTATGGAGAGGCTGACAGAGCTCTGCCATTCTTCCTCTGTGAATGAAGTCTCTTGAAATGGCCTCTTTTCTGAGGCTGTCCAGAAGCACGCTGCATTGACTTGTGTTATGCATGGCCGTGACTTCCAGCTGTTCTGTTTTGTTTTTCTTCACCCATCTTACACCAAGAGATTCTTAGATATCTTACTCAGCTGGTGTCCTTTTCTTTTTGTCTTGTCAAGAGTTTCCCACTTTAGATTGTGTTTTGGTCATGGGACCTTTAGGTCATTGTCCCTACCCATGGCAAGGGGGTTGGAACTAGATGATCTTTAAGGTCCCTTCCAACCCAACCCATTCTATGATTCTATAACCTTAGAATTAAAATCACTTTAATTCTCGCTGGTCAAGGAGGTATCAAATCGGATCCTTGGAGCTTGAGGAACCGAAACTCCACAATCCAAGAGGCAGTGGTCTGCATGATGCCCAGGGCACCCTATAGCTGAATAATGGCAGGAGAACCATGGGGAGCCCGTAACGTACCTACGCTGTATGTCCTGCCAGGCTGGGCTGGAACATGGACAGTGGCTTGTCACAGGTGCGGAAATGCTTTCGTCTAGATTTAGGACATGTCATATTATCCTGCCTTTCTCTAAACAGGGACAATGCAATTTAAACTAAGTAATTTGTACCTGTTCTTCTTTAAAAATTGCCAAGATTCCATGTGTCAGACCATCAGAAGCCTATTAGTCCTGTAGCTGATTTTAATTCCATTAATTAAATGTCTTAGGGACAAATCTGCCAAGTGCAACGTTACCTGGAAAATTTTGAAAATTCTTGGTCTCTTTTGGGAAGGGAAGCTAGCGTGGAATGTTCACAAAGGAGTAGTTTGGGTGGGAAGGGCTGATCTGGCTTGTGTGTTGGAGCTATTTTAAATCGTCTGTGAAGGATTGGTATTGATTGCTGTGCATTGTTCAGAGGGTTAGATGGTATCTTCCAAAGATCTGCCTTTCGATGCATGAAGGAGTCTCAGCTGGAAGTTACACGTTGAAGTTCCAGGACAATTTTGTACTCCTGAATGTAATGAATCAAGAAAAATGGACAGAGAGAGAGGAAGCATGTAATGAATAACATTACTGACTGAAGGACACTTGTTTGCAGTGAAGGAATAGATGGGAACTGGAGTGGTTCTTTACTTCTAAATCATCAGCAGCCTTTTTCCCCAAGTAGTTGTTGTTGCTAAGTAAATGTCTTCTGCTCAAATGGAAAAAAAAAAGATCCCTTTAATTTTCATAATTATGATAACAGAGGGAGAATATTTTTTTATTTGATCATTAAAACGTGAAGGCTTGCTTGCACGAAGGTGATATTACTTGTCTGTATGGATAAAATTTTTGTTTTTACTTTTATTTTCTTCCAAATTAATCAAATGCTTTAAGCGTACAATCCTTGCATCTGCAGTAGCTACTGCAGCTCTAAAGTTCCTGTTTTTGAAGCTGTAAAGTGTTGCTTAATGCTTTGAGAAGGAGAGTGACAACTGAAAGCACACATCCTGAAAACAACCAAAGAAAATGCTGCTTTTTTTGCCTTACTTAATAATTTTATAAGCAATGCAGCATTGTTAAATTCGAGCAATTTGCAGATGGCTGTAGAGGAGAACTCTGGTATATCGTTCTCAGGAAATGTTTTGATCAGTCATGTCATTTGATGTTATTTAGTGCTTTTGTAATGACAGCGCATTGCATCAAATGCATCTTTGAGCCAGGAAAAAAGTTACCAGAACAGAGATTGTTGAGCAGTGTTCAGACAGGATGCAGGAAAAAAAGAATCTGCCAGGGTTTGGCAGTCTCTCCTAGGCAGCTTTCATCTGAAATGCCGTAATATAGAAAAAGCCTATAAATTTGTAACCTTCTTTCCTAAAAGAAGAAAAATCACACTGTGAAAACACAGACAAATTGCATTTCCTACAAAAAATACAAGAAACCACGAAGATTTCCTCATCTTAGTTGAGAGGGAAGAGAACATTTTTCCATTTGTTCACCACGTGCGTTCCGGCAGGTGCCTTTCCTGTTCCCTGATGATCAGTCTCCTAGGTTTAACTGACAAGGTGCACATTTGTTTCCTGGTATGATGCTGGCGGATGCCTTTTTCTCGGGTCCGTATCACCAAGAAGGTGGAGCTCGCTAGCAGCAGAACGTACATGTGAGCAGCAGGACCATTTGTATTCCTGGGCCCATGCACAAATGCCCTCTGAACATCAGAGGCATTTCCCTTCTTTTAAAATACATACATAGATATCACATATTTTGTCTGAGAAAGAGGAGACTTTCGCTTTTGTAGGCATTTGTCCTGGTTTTGGTTAAAGCAGAACCAAAGCTCTTTTAGTGAATCTTCCTTACAGCTAAGTTCTTCTAAGTAACTGCATTTTTCTGAAGTCGTCCACGTATTTTACAGACAGTGTCTGCTCCAAAGCTGGTAACACCTAATGCTTATGGTTTTACTGAGCTAACGGTAGGAGTGGAGTGCAGAGAAGGCTGAGGTCTATAGGTTGCGTATTCGGTGTGTTGGTCATGTTACAAATTTCTGTGGCTTCCTTCTTTCAGAGCGTCCTTCATGACTAAAACTGTGCCTTGTGGGAACGAGCTTCATAAATTTCTGATCTGGGACACAGCTGGTCAGGAACGGGTGAGTATTACTTTGGGTTATGTCTTTGTTATCCCTATCTCTTTTAGTGTGTTGGTGTAATTTTTCTAAACCTTTCCATCTTCAGACAAATTTGTAAGTGTAAACCTACTGAATCTTTCCACTGCTGCTGGTTGGCAGTCACCAAGTATGTAGGTTCCCCTTTCACAGGTGGGGAAAATGCAGAGGAAGGCTGACCATAGCACTTACCTAAAAAATAAAAGCCTGGTGTGAATTATCAGCCACTTTCCTCAAGACATCTCGGGCAGTGCCCAAGAGGTCTCCAGCTCCCCTCTGGTTTCATCAGGTTTATGTGTGGCAGCTTTCGTTGGTGTTGGAAAGCACTTGACTTTCAGCACATGGGGTGACAGGTGGTCTGAGCTTAGGTGGTGACCCCAGGGCTTTCTGGAGCTGGGGCATTGAATATGGGCATAGGTTTTGTCTGCTGTTATTATTCTGGAAATTAGCACTGGCAGCCTGAACCACTTAGGGTTTTCATCTTGATTTTTCAAATGTGGGAAGTGCGTTGCTCAAATGAAGTAGCCTTTCCTTTGGCTTTTCAGAAAAGCCATAACGGAGTTTGTGGGCATTAGTTCACATTGACTGTATGTAAGCCTGGTTGGTCGTTTGTTTCTTTTGATAGCCTCAATGGCAGTAGCATAGGCTGTAGAATTGTAGAGTTCTCTTAATATATGCCCACAATCATCTTGAGAATTTTGAAAGAAATGGAAAAAACAATTCACACATTTTAAAATATCTTCAGACTTTCTTGTGAAATTGCACTGTTCCTGTTCATAGAAGAATGTAGCTATGCTCACGTTAGGCTGGGGTAAAATAAGATGCTTATACTGTAATGTCAGTCCTGGTACATCCCACTGTCTTGTCCATACCTTGCATGTGAGTTGTGGGTAACAAAGATTCTTGCTGGTAAGTGCAGGAAATGCCGGTGTTTTTATTCACAATGTGCAGCATAATGTAAAGCGGCTCTGATGAAATCTGTTGGCTCTTAGCTATTCAGTATGTTATTTATGATGGGAAAATGGATATTGGAAAGCAAATTTGAAGTATAGCGTAATTCCTTGCCTTGAATCTTGTTTGTTCCATTTCTGCATGGCCTGGAGCTGATAACGGACTAATTATTGCAAGAGGTAGCAAAGGTTCATTTATCTTTCCCATGGTTTGAGTTTCCTTGCTTATTCTCTCTCTTCCCTCCGCTGCCCCATGCTGCTTTCTTTTTTTTTTCCTTTTAGCTCTTTAGCACACAAAACTCAATTCTTGACATTTAGATACAAGTATTAATCTATTTTCCCACATAGCCTTAAGAGTCTCAGCTTTTTTTTAAAGTAGGTGAATGTTAGTAAAGTCATATTTACTGAACTAAATGATGCTTCATTTGAGGCAGGAAATCTGTGACTGAGCTCTGACTCTTGGACACCAAATGCATCCTTCCCATCTAGTCCCTTATGTTTCCTCTCAATGTTTTTTTAAGCTCGTCGTTTTTGAAACATCTGCTTTCTTTTTTTTGTGTGTGTCCAACAATGATGAGCAGCGACCACCACAAACCTTAAATTGCTCAGAATCTATCACAGATAAGTTCTCTTATGGGTTTTCATGTGTAATCATGAATTGTAACCTCTTTAGGGCAGGGACCTGCTTTTTCTTCTGTGTTTGCACAATGTATTTCCAGTCCTTCACTAGGACTCTAGGGAAACTGGGTTGATACAGTAAACAAAGTTGATGGGTGTTGAGTGCTAGCCACCCAGGCAGACAGGTTTCCCAAGGCGAGGTCCATACTGTTCTGTGTCATTCTCTGTCCTAGAACAGCTAAACACATGATGCTTCTCAATAACTTGATCACTTCAATTTGCATCTGGGATTTTGGTTACTTTGTCTTGCATTGCTCCTTCTGATCTGCTATTCGAGAACAAATGTCTCCCCCTGTTAATTTCTTTCTCGTTATCTTCTGAACTACACTGATGACCCAAAGCTTCCAGCCTACCCCAACTTTTGGGCCTGTTGCTGTTTTTCATAGTGTACTAATAAATGCCTTCTGAGTCACGTTTCTGGCTTGAGAGCTGTTGTCCTTCCCTTGTTCTTTGCGATATTTGTTGAGGCTATAATGTTCCACTCACTGCTAAAGTCTGGAAGCTTCGTCAATGCCCCCGTTGTCTGTACTGCTGATGGCAGCGTTTAGGACTTCCTGCTCTTTCAACATCGCCTTCGTTTGGCTTCGTTCTCCTGAACGCAAGGCCAAGCATAGGGCTTGTGTGTGCTTGTTCTGGAGTCAGGGCTCTCTGTGCTTCCCCAGCTGTGCCAGGTGTCGCTGTGTCTGTGTGCTGAGGTGGAGCCTTCACGGCAGAAGAGCCCCGGGTGAGATTTAACTGAAGCTTTACTGGTGCCGTGAAAGTTAAGCTCAAACCTGAGAGACGGTAGAGTGGGCAGGTGGAAACAACAGCACTTCTGTGCTCCTCATTCGAGTTTCTCCTTTTTCATACGTTTTCTCCTCCTTTTTCATGAGTTTCTCTGGGCAACAAACTGGGAAACTGCCAGCTTGGAGAGCATAGAGAAATCACTCTGAAATTTCTTAGTTGCGAGGCGTTATGTGATTAATGCTCTGTGAGAACCAGTGTGCCTCCTGGCAGCCTTCAGTCAGCTGGGAGAAACTGGAAATTCAAGTGACTGCGTCTGAAAAGGAGCTGTATCCTGGGTGCCTGGAGAAGCCAGCGGGAAGCAGTCAGCACGCCCCTGAGGCCTTAAATCATCTTTTGGTAGCCACTTGTGGTGTTGCACGCCTTCGGAAATGCTGGTCGTTGGTGGGTTTAAAAGCTTGTAAGAACATGTCTGTGTATTAAGAACCTTAATATACAGGCCAGCCGGTCGGAGATTGGTCATGGAGAACAGGTGACTTGTGATTCATACGGATAATAGAGATACTATTTCATTTCTTTTCTGCCAGGAAACTCAGAACTGTAGGCAGAGTAGAGAAGGAACCAGAATTGCCATTTTGTGGGAAGTGAGCAAATGTCACTTCTGTAGAATGACAAAAATGCAGCAGAAAATGGATGTCAAACCAGTTCCTATCGTAACCTTGGTGGGAGCAAATGCTCAGTGTGCTTCCCGGCAGAGACCCTGGAGAGGGGTACGTGGCTCTCCAGCAGCCCTCATTGTGAAAAATTCACGTTGTACTTGATTACAAAAGGAAAGAACTTCTTAATTTTTTTTTTTTTTTTTGCTTTTTTTTGGATAGGAAGAACCTTGAACTGGCAGCAGAGTTAACAAAATCCTAGTTTTCTGTACCTACGTACCGGTGTCTGCTTTGTGTTGGTGTGCTGTCAGACAAGCTTGCTTTATTCTGCTCTTCAGAGTTGCTTTCCCTCCAACCCACTGTTTTCCAAATGTCACTTTTTTCCCCATCTCACTTTTCCCCCATCAGCTTTAAATTGTTGCCCTGGACTTCAGGACTTAAATGGACTACAGTGACATTATTGTTAGCAAAGATTCCCTCTCCTAAGAAGAGTCTCTTCACAAGTTAGTTAATGATGTTTCTATTAGCATATATTTTGGCTCATGGTGCCCTAAGTAGCTTCTAATTACAATGCTTTGTCTGAATGCCTTGGGTGGCTGCCAGCTTTCCATTTTGCCAGCTGAGGAATATCGTAGCAAATAGTTAGGGAGCCGGAGGGCCAGGTTTCTAGGGCAGGAAAATTTATCTCTGTCCTTTTTAAATTTACTGTGTTGAACTCTGGGATTTTTAATTTTGTTTAATAGAAGGAGCCTCAATTACTTGAGCCCTATTTAAACCTTGATAGGAATTACCCTGAGTTGTAGGCTTTTTTTTTTTTTTTTTAAACTGCTCCATTTCCAGGAAAAGGCTGACTACTGAGATATCTGCAGTGCTTTATAGCCCCCTCTTTTCTGGTAGTTGTCCTGGTGATTCAGAGATAGTGTCACAAGGTAGGGGGTGAAAATGCTCCTGGCGAGGAGGAGTTGCCCTTGCTGCAGTCTTGACTGGGACGTTGAGGAGCTACTGGAGACAGTCCAGTGGAGGGCTACAAATATGATTAGGGGACTGGAGCATCTCTCCTCTGAGGAAAGGCTGAGGGAGCTGGGCTTGTTCAGCCTGAAGAAGAGAAGGCAGAGAGAGGACCTTATAAATGCTTATAAATATCTTAAGGGTGGGTGTCAGGAGGACGGGGCCAGTCTCTTTCCAGTGATGCCCAACGACAGGACAAGGGGCAACGGGCACAAACTGAAGCATAGGAAGTTCCGTCTGAACATGAGGAAGAACTTCTTCCCTCTGAGGGTGACGGAGCACTGGAACAGCCTGCCCAAAACGGCTGTGAAGTCTCCTTCTCTGGAGATATTCAAGAGCCACCAGCCGTCTGTAGGTGACCCTGCTTCGGCAGGGGGGACCCACAGAGGTCCCTTTCAATCCCGAACATTCTGTGATTCTGTGTGATTCTGTTTCACCCCTAAACTGAGCAGCCTAATCACTGAGCTTATTCATGCTTCCTCTGAAACCAGACTATCCTGAGAGTTGACACCAACTATCAATGACTTGAATTACTTCTGCAGTCAAGACATGGCTGGAATTTTGCTTTGCGGTTTTAGATAGGTAAATATGATGGTAGCCCACAGCTCGGTCAGCGTGGAGGTGGTCCCTTGGTCGTGGTGCAAGGATCTCCCTGCAGTGAGCTACAGCTTGCATGCTGCGAAGGTCAGCAGGTGATTTAGTAGTATGTGCATTTGTGAGAGCTCAGGTGGCATTAGAGCTAGTAAGTGAATGTGTTATTTTTATTTAGAGTGAACGTAAAGCATGGTAAATCATTTGAGATGCACGTGGATGTCTTTTTTCTTAAGCTTCGACAAACTTGCAGTGTGTGTAGCTTGACAGCGAGCCACTGTTTAGGTGTGATGTCTTTTGCATCCTTTGTTTAATGACTGTAAACTTCAGAAGAGCTAAGCACAGGTCACTTCTGTGATGCTGCAAAAGTTTGTTTTCT